TTACCAATTAATTTTATTACATCTTAAAATATTATGAACTTTATAAATATTATTCTCCTAATTTTAACCATCCTTATAAAGATGACAAACAAATAACTTTATAGTAAAAAACACTCACATGTTTCATAGATGTATGGTTCATAATCTATTATAACTTTAACTTCTGTATTTTAAAAGATTAAAGTTAGCCTATATCTCATCAGATTAATAGAGCCAGCCCGAATAAATGGCAACTTATTAAATACTGACATTTTCTAACGTTTTAAAAAATTGAATATTAATATTTTCTATCTTACATATTTTAATTGTAAAATTGTAACCTTTAACCTTTGTATTGAAAAGTACACTAATATGCATGTTTGGTTTGGAGCATAATACAAATAAAACTGTTCAATGGGGCGGTTTCCACATGTCAACAACAAAAAAGAAAGCATTTTCAACATCAGAATGTTATAGGAGTTGTATGTATCCAATTCAAGCTAAATTTGGATTGGTGATTCAAAACCCATAATTAGGTTTTGGATTGGTTGTTCATTTAATACCGATTCGGATCGACCAGATCAATGAGCTGAAGCGGCTAATTGAATGATCCATATCGTATCAATTAGTTAATATTTGATAGAAATTTAATAAAAGATAATATCTTATCATTCTAGTGGGGGGAGGCACGATCAATGAGCTGAAGCGGCTAATTGAATGATCCATATCGTATCAATTAGTTAATATTTGATAGAAATTTAATAAAAGATAATATCTTATCATTCTAGTAGGGGGAGGCACAGATTGCCCACCCACCAAATCTGATTCAAAATGGTGATTCCCAATCTAGATGGTCTGGTTTTATATATCCTCAAGGTTTTAAAAAAAAAGATCAGTGACCCAGATCGCCAATTCGAAAGACCAATCCAATTTGGTAGAGCAGTGGTCTAGATCAGCGACTTGGCCAAAAAGAAATAGAGAACAAAAAAATAAATAAAATAAAATATAAGGTGGGGCTAGTTCTCTAAAATAATCAGCCGTTTATAAATAGAACCACCCAGTTCCCAAGGAAGTGAGCCAATCCCTCCGGTTTATATCTAAATCGGCTGATTTTGATCCAGATCACCATCTTTTTAAACCTTGTACATATTAACACGGAGTTCATTCATTGGTTTTATACGTGATTTAAAGTCCAATACCTCTCAATTTCAATCATTTATTAGTCTGATGCAAAAAATTGAAGGAGAGATGTCTCATTGTTTCAACACAAAGCTCAATAACATCTCTTACACTTTAAGTTTTATCGTTTATGCGTCTAATTAGGAATGATTGTGGCCTCTTTATACCTAAGTTAAATAGCGTTGTTATTATGTGTTTTTCGTGTTCTCAAGAGAAACAACGATCTTTTGGGCCGGCAACATTTGAATTGCCGAATTTGATGTTTAGATAATTCATGCCAAATGGCTCAGCCCTGCTTGATTGACATGGCTCGGATCAACTAGGCTCCTACCTAATTGACATAGCTCAGAACAACCAACGTGAATTGGGCCCAGGGCCCAATCCCATGCCTCAAATCTAGGCCTAGTGTTAGGGCTGAGTTGAGTTAGGGCCAAGGTTCATGACCCTCACCACCCCGCCCCGGCCTAACCCTGCTATTTTTTGTTTTTCTTTTTATGAAATTCAAAAACATGATAGAATAATATCTACTAGCCCAGTCCTACCCGACCCCATTAATAGGGCCGTCAAGGCCACCCAACCCAATAGTACAACTAGGTCTAGCCCAGAGCTTCTTCGCCTAGGTCACAACCAAGCTAGCCCTAGGGCAACCCTCTAGTGTCCCAGATCTAGCTTGGGCTAGTTCTAGTCTTGTCCATTGCCATCTTATCCACATCTACACCTTATTCACATTTCGAGTGATGTATATTAGAACATCATCGTCTGTGCCTTATCCCAACTATTTGTGATCAGTTACATGAATCTTGTTCTGTTGTTGTACCCATAAGAGATCCAAATCGTTTGAATAAGTAAAAAGCAATTGAGATATTAATAACAAGTAATCCTAAATGGTTTTAAAGGGAAGACACAAATCACCTAGCCACTGTGATCCTGATAGGTGCCTCTAGATAGGCATTTTTTAAGGGAGAATTTATTTTTGTTACAAAGAGGTCACAATTGTTACTAAAACATTTATTTTTTTCATTAAAGAATAAAGTTTATATAAGGCCTAGGTTATTAATAAAACACTAAACCCTCACCTCAAAAATTGTCCACAAAACACTTTAGGCATCACAAATCGTTACGGTGGCTCTAAGTTAATGTCCACCACCAATATAAAATTTGTAGCTCAAAAATAATAATGATCCACAAGATATGTGAACACTTGAAAATGGATGGTCTAGATGTTTTGTTACAATATACACTATTTTTAATACTTGATATCCTAATTTTTTTCACAACTATAGTGCTTAAGGTAGAGAAGATTGATTTGAAAAATTTCTAATGCCGGATACAATTTTTTTTTTTATGAGCTTTGAGATTGAAGGCTTTTACTTTTTTTTCCATAAAACTTAGGCTTTATTTTAACTTTTGTCCTTTTTAAAACACTTGTGAAACGTAGAGGACCCATTTGTCACTTTAACTATAAGACAGGGTTATTTATATATTTTGTTGACCATTTGAAATCTTGTCATTTTTTGGCAGAACGTCAGGAGCCCGTCCACACAAACCTTCTCGTGGGTTGACAACCCGTCGATCTAAGAGGAATTACTGGACAAAATGCGTAAAATGCCCCTCTTCCGCACCATGAAATTTCAAAATTAGCTCTTAGATTTCTATTTATTATTACCACCAACATAGTTTGAATTGTCAAAAAATACCTTTATTAATACGTTTTCCTTGTTTATTTTTGAACGTTTTATTTATTTTTTTGGGTAATTTAAAGAGATCATGCTTGGCTACCTGGGACGCTTTGAACCGCGGACGTGAGGATGCAGCGTGCTTCTTTCGTGCCCTTTTTTAAAATTGTATCTTACTTTAGTTTGGATCACAATGTTTCAGAACTTGCGGATTTTGAAGGGGAATTGCCGATTCAGAGTTTCATGTAGTTTTGGAAACGTATTGATATAAGCGCGTCCTCTTCAAAACTTTGTTTTTTTTTATATATATATTTTTAAGTTTATCTAATATTTTATTATTTTTTACTTCGACCTTCGTTGACCCTAATCTG